CAAGATACTTGTCATGCGGCGAGCAGGAGGAAAAGTGGGTCAAGGAAACTGCTGTAAAAGCAGACAGCTACCTCTGACTGCTCCTGCACGGACAGGGTTGCTGCCCTTTTCTCAGAATTTGCAGGAATTAGGGAACAGGGCAACATGTGAAAACCTCCCTTCTGCTCTCAAATTATTCCAGAGTAATTCATGTCTTTCCCTTATCCCTCTGAAGATTGTTTCAATAAGGCAGAGATTCTAGTCATTGCTAGGAGACTTTGTGGGGGGAGTTGGAACAGAATGCTTGAAGTTTATGGAGAAAAGCTAGAACTTAATCTCTCTTTTTCACTTGCAGGTTGGGATCAGTCAGATAAGTTTATTAAGATTTATGTCTCTCTAAATGGAGTCCAGAAGCTTCCAGCTGAGAATGTGCAGGTGAATTTCACAGAGAGGTGAGTTCATCTTGTTGCACCACACCACAGGGGAGAGCATTGGTGAAGAACGCTATTTGAAATGCCAGAATGTGTTGTGTTCAGTTCTGTTCTGGATCAGCCCTTACCCCCTCCATGCCCCCCCTCCTTTTTTCTTTTTTTTTTTTTTTTTTAACTTGAGCAATACTAGGTTTTAGTAGCACTTAGAACATACCCTTAAGTATAGTTCTCCTTGGAGGGTATTTTCATTTTACAAATGCTGGTTGCATCACATCGTGCTTGACAGGATATGTAGTGTTAGTGCTGTTTTTTGATGGTGATATAACTGAAATGTACTTTAACTAAATTTGCCCTTCCAAGGTTGTAGGAGATAGGTGAGGTAGAAAGAACCCTAAAGATCTTGATTTGTTATGAAATCTGGACAGGTCCTTTTAAGTCCTTACTATTAAATCCAACTGAAGATTTGAGAGCCCTGGGAGGAAAGTAATTCAAGCCTGTTGACGTGCCTGTTGACGTGCCGTCCAAAGAAATATGTCTGCTAAAGGGCTTTCAGATGTTTTTGGTGGCAAGGCACAATACTTTTACAATGATTGACATATTTGTGCCCTTCCTCCTCCACTTTCTGGTTCCAGGTCGTTTGATCTGCTAGTGAAGAACCTGAATGGGAAGAACTATACCATGACCTTCAACAACCTCCTGAAACCCATTGCTGTGGAAGGCAGCTCTAGAAAGGTCAGTGCACCTCGGCTGTTAGAGGTATTTAGGTCCCTCACCAAGTACCATGTTCATTGCCTGACCCTAGTTCGAGAGGCTTAGTGCTAACTTTCAGTCCCTCCCTTCTGTCTTTAAAATATCTTCACTGTGAACATGATTCTTATTAATCTGTAGTTGTCATAACTGTGGAATTATTCTCTGGAATCCATGGGCTCCTATTTCAAAAGATCATGCCTGGATGTTGTATACATTTTTTTAAGAGCTCTCCAACAGGATTTCAGAAATAATAGGCAGAAAATTCCACTAAGCATCCATTTGCAGACTTGTGCTTTCAAATACCTCTGAGAAATTCTTTGCAATTTTAAGGTCTAAGAGACTTATCAGCAGACTGGAATCTTGAGAAGCTTAAATAGGCTTAATATCCAAAGCAAAGCGTGAAACCTGCTCTGCCTTTGTGAGGGTCTCTTGCTCCAGAACTGAACACTAGTTAACGTTTTACTACTGATGACTGCAACTGGTGATGGTGTCCTTGCTGTGCTACTGGCAGCACCTTCCTGGGCTTAGAGATGTGTCAGATACCTTATGTGTGTTCTGTGCAGTTGTGTGCTGCGCTTTGTGATATCAGATGTGAAGAAATGATGGCTCAGTTTGAAATTGCCCTCAAACTAGGACAGCGTAAAATTAAAACCAGCAGAAATAAATGAGAGTGGTGCTCTGGTGATTTTTAACACAGTGTAAAAGCGAGCAGCGGTCACGTACTTGCTCAGCTCATCTAAAGCTCCAGCAGGCTCTGGTCTGCTGTGGCACGCAGGAGTTCTTTGTGAAATTTAGGTCAGGGTTGCAATCAAACAGGCTTTGCTTGTAACTTGCAAACATTTTGCAAGATTAAGCAGTGCCCTAAAATTAGTCTGTTATCCTTGGAGAAATAAACTGGGAGAGCCTCGACCTGAACTTGGTATTCTTGGAGAAGTTCAGTAAATATAGCCACCCTTTACCCAACAGTCCTGGGTACTTTTAGCGTCCTGAGAATCACTGAAGGGTGTTTTTGCAGCACTATATGTTCTTCTGTATTGGTACTGTAGTACTGTACTAGTGTTCCATCAATTACACCATTTAAATGGTCCACCACGAGGTTAATACTTTGTACCCCGAAGCTGAGTACACACTATAATTTCTGTATGCTACATAATAATCAGTAGCTGAGATAAAAGTTTCAGGAATTCGCAAGTATAGAAAGAGGTTTATGTTATAAGCTAATCTTACTCATTGTAGTTGTGACTAGCATCCCTTTATTAAGCATTCTAAATTCATGCTTTGTTGTTCTCCGTACAGATAAAGACAGACACGGTCCTTGTGATGTGTAGGAAGAAGCGGGAGGAAAAATGGGAATGCCTCACTCAAGTGGAAAAAGAAAGCAAGGAGAAAGAGTAAGTGTCTCTTCAGCCGTCCATCTTGTTTTCC